TGGTCCCCCCCCCCCCACTTTTTCTTTTTCCCCAATGATTTTGAGTTTTATTCCACATGGTTTTCTCTCTCTATCCAGGATCTCCTACATAGATCAGTGCGGTGCCTTTAAGTTGATTCAGAGTCATAGCCAGCCATGTGACAAGGTGGAGCTCCCCCATGGGGTTTTCTTAGCTGCAGTCCTAACAGAAGGAGCCCTACTGGCTCAGTGGTTAAGTGCTCAGCCGCTGGCTGAAAAGTTGGCAGTTGAGACCCACCCAGTGGCAGTGTGGGAGAAGCACCTGGCAGTCCCACCATCATGAAGACAAGGCCGCAGAATAGGTCTCCTTAGACCCCATGCTGTGACAGAGTGGAACTGCCCTGCACAGTTTTCTAGGTTGTGATCTGTATTGACTATGGGAAGAACCAATCACGGGAAAAGAACATCATGCTTGGTAATGTCCTTGTCTCAAGCTGATTGATCAAAATTCTAAATACATTTATGCAGACAAGCAAGTAATAGTGTGTGGATTTAGCAAGTTAAATTTATACAGGCAGTTACTTGGTTGAAAACTTAATATGCTGTTATGCATTTGATTAAAATCAAACACATTCTCTTAAATAGTCAGAAACCAAAAATACTGACCCCACTGCCATCAAGTCAATTCTGACTCAGTGACCCACATTGGGTTTCTAAGGCTGTAAATCTTTACAGAAGTATATTGCCCCATCTTCCTTCTGCAGGGTGGCTTGTGGGTTTGAACCACCAACTTTCTGGTTAGCAGTCAAATGCCTTGGGCACTGTGTCACCAGAGAAAGTATGTACAAAACACTCATTTTCAAAACCCATGAGATCATTTGTACTGAAAACACTGACATATAAACAAATTATGTGGACAGTAAGAGTCCACATAGCAGTCTCTGGATGGTGTAAATGGTTAGACACTCCACTACTAGCAGAAAGTTTAGGAGCTCTAACCCATCCAGAGATGCCTTGGAAGACAGGCCTGGCAATTTGCTTCTGAGAGATCACAGCCTCAGAAACCTTCTGGAGCAGTTCTGCTCTGCACACATGGGGTCACCATTGGTCAGAATCAACTCCACAGCCACCAATTACAATGGTCCACGTAAGCATTGTTTTCCTCGTTTTCTGGGCGGTAGTACCTGTCCAAGGTCAAGTTACCTCTCTGTTAAGAGGCACCACTGAGGACTGAGGTGCATATGTTAGCCTCACTGTCACTCCTGGGTAGGGCAGGTATGAGGGACTTTTGGGGCTCATACGTGGTTGCCTGCTTCTCACAGCCTTGCTTTTCCATAGGTTCCTATGGCTACAGAAGCACTTACCGAACGTCCTGAGGTAAGTGGAGGGCATACCAGGCCCCACTCGCCTCAGCTTCCACCTACATGGTCCCTAGATTATGGGGTTCTGGGATTCTCTGCCTGCCACTCTCCTTACCCTTCCGTGTGAGCACCCTGAAGGTAAGGTCGCCCAGGGCCCTGAATCCACGTCTGGGCTTATATGTTGTTAGGTGCTGTTGAGTCGTTGTACATCAGAGTGAAACACTGCCTGGTCCTGCACCATCCTCACAGTCCTTGCTGTGTTTGAGCCCAAAGGATGTGCTCCACTCCTGGCTCCTCTTCCTTGGTGTTAGTGAGGTCCCCTCCACCCACCTCTAAAAAAAAAAATTACTGCCGTTGAGTCTAATCTGACTCATAGCAACCCTTCCTTGGGTTTCCAAGATGGTATCTCTACAGAATTGAATTGCCTAGTTTACGAGGAGTGGCTGGTGGTTGAACTGCCATCCTTCTGGTTAGCAGTCAAACGCCTTAGGCACTACACCATCAGAGCTCCATTTTAAGCCTAGTGAGCTGGCAGAACTGACCAATCTCATTAGGGTTCCATACACCTTCTTTGCATGTTACACCCTGTTATGGTCACCTAGTACCATTCTGACAAGAATATACCATAAATGGGATGCTTGAAGAAACAGTTGTTTATTCTCTTACAGTTTAGAGGCTTTAAGTCAGAGTTCAAAGTGCCAGGCTCTAGGGGCTGGGTGAAAGCCCCTCAACCTTGGGCTTCAGCTCTGCCTCCTGCTCCCAGCCCACTGAAGCTGGAGACTTTTCTTCATTCAGCTGAAAAAGAAAAAGTGTGTGTGGGGAGGGGACCACGGTCCCTGGTGTGATAGAGCCTGCTGGAACCACTGAGACAAATGCCCCTAGCTGCCCTTCAGGTCTGGACTTGAATCCACACCTGTGGCTTCCAGCCAAACAAAGACTGCTGTTGGCTGCTGAGGCTGACAAGCCCAAGGTTGACAAGTGAAAAGGCACAGTCCTGACGTTACCAAACCACACAGCAAACCATTAATTCAAGTCCATTAAAAGTCCCAAGATTGGCAGAGCATGGCACACTACTGAACAATGACTTGGCTACATGCATGGTTCAGGCGTGCCCTAAGCTAGAGACCGTTCCCCAAGGCTTCTCCTTATATACAGAAAGCAGACCACATCCCTCAAGCAGCTACTTAGCTGCTCACAGCAGATTCCACCGTGGAATTTATGACCAGTCTCATTATGGGGAATACTACATCCAGGTGCCCAGCCGCTCAACCAGGCCCAGCCAAGTTGACACACAAACTGAACTACCACACTCCCCAGTCATTTTGTGGGAGTCACAAGCCCATGAATGACCAGAAGAGCCATGTTAAGTGATTCCCAGTAGCGCACGTGGGCTTTTGGACGTTTGTTGTTAGGTGCCATCAAGTTGGCTGCATCTCATAGCGACCCTGTGTATAGCAAAACAACACTGCCTGGTCCTGTGCCAGCCTCACAATCTTTGCCATTCTTGGACCCATCATCACAGCCACTGTGTCAGTCCATCTCTTTGGGGGCCTTCCCCTTTTTCGCTGACCCTCTACTTTACCAAGCGTGATATTGTTGTCCAGAGATGTTCCTTTGTGACAGTATGACCAAAGTATGAGAGATGGAGTCCATTATTCTGCCAAACGAGCATTCCAGCCCTACCTCTTCTAGGACAGATTTGTTTGTTCTTGTGTCGGTCTGTGGTATTTTCCAATATTCTTCATACCCCCGCAAATCAGAGGCATCGATTCTTTTTGATTTTGATTTTGATTTTGACTTGGGTAAAAGTTTACAGAGCTAATTCATTTTCCATACAGTAGTTCACATATACTTTGTTTCATGACATTGACTGCATTTCCCACAAAGCAACATCTCTCATTTCACTTCCTCCCCATAGTTACCTCTTCCCTATGTCCTTCCCTCCTATGTACTCCTGCCCCCCAGCCTGTCTTCCTGTGCATACACAGTCCTTCTGTTTTCCCATGATTGATCTCTCTAAGGAGTGTATCTCCCTAATGTTAATGTTCAGCTTATAGGCCTGTCTATTGCTTGGCTGGAAGCCGTAGGAGTGGGTTCAATTCCGGACCTGAAAGGCAGCTAGGGGCAATAGTCTAAGGGGTTCCACCAGGCTCTATCAGACCAGCAAACCAGGCCCCCCCCCTTTTTCTTAATTTAAGATTTTGAGTTTTGTTCCACATTGTTCTCCCACTCTATCCAGGATCTCCTACATAGATTCCCCTCCAAGTAGTTGACAGTGGTAGCCGGGCACCATCTAGTTCTTCTGGTCTAATAGTCTTATAGGCTGAGGATTGCATGGTGTACCAGTCGCTTGGACTAATTTTTTCCATGCATCTTTGGTTTTCTTCATTCTTCTTTGCTCTGGATGAGAAGAGATCCATCGTTACATCTGGATGGCTGCTTGCAAGTTTTTAAGATCCTTGTTGCTACTCCTCAAAGTAGGACAGAGGCATCAATTCTTTTCTGGTCTTCCTTATTCATTGTTTAGCTTTCACATGCATATGAGGGAATTGAAAATGGTTTGGATCAGGCATAGGCACACCTTAGTCTTCAAAGTGACATCTTTGCTCTTCATCACTTTAAAAAGGTCTTTTGCAGTAGATTTTCCCAGTGTAATAAGTTGTCTAATTTCTTGACTGCTGCTTCCGTGGGTGTTGATTGTGGAGCCAAGTAAAATGAAATCCTCAAAAACTTCAGTCTTTTCCCCGTTTGTTATCATATTGCATATTGGTCCAGTTGTGAGGATTTTTGTTTTCTTTATGTTGGGACGTAATCCACACTGGAGACTGTAACCTCTGATCTTCATTAGTAAGTGTTTCAATCAGGCCTGGAATGGCAGCTTGAGGAGCTAGGCCTCTGTGCTGAGGGTGAAGATCAGAGATTGCAGTGGGGTCATCTAGGAGAATCACAAGGTTTGGTTTGGTAGATATTTGAGTTTGCTAGTGCTGCTGAAACAGAAACACCACGAGTCAGTGGCTTGGACGAACAGAAGTTTATTTTCTCACTGTTTACAAGGCTGGAAATTCCAATTTCGAGCACCAGCTCTGGGTGCAGGCTGCTTCTCTGTCAGCTCTGGGGGATGACCCTTGTTTCTTCAGCCTCTGTCCCAGGTTCCATGGGAATCCTATGACGTGTATCTTCTGTCTGTCCTTGCTTGCTTATTCTGCTCTTTCATATCTCAAAAGAGACTGATTGAAGATACTGCCTCATTAAGATAACAAACCCGTAATCCTATTGCTATGGACTGTATCTGATTTGTAGACACCCTGTGGGACAGAGTAGAACTGTCCCATAGGGTTTCCAAGGCTACCACCTCTTTCCCTCTTGGAGTGGCTGGTGGATTTGAATCACTGGGCTTTCAGTGAGCAGCCAGGCACTTAACAGAGAAGACCAGTGCCCTTCATGACCCCTCCTGCTCCTGGTCTGGTGGGGTACAACAGGGTCCCCAGTGAGCTGTCTGTCAGGGGCGGGGCCCTGAGTTTAGATGTGTGCCCAGGTGCCTGACATGGGTTGTCTCAGTGGTCAGTGGGGAGTGAGGAGAGAGTGGGCACCAGTGAGCTCTCTGAGGGGTTGAGTAGGGTTGGCAGGTGAACAGAGGTGCCTGGGGAGGGAATCTAAACCTTAACATCAGCTTAACTGTCTATGTCCTGGCAGGGCCCTATGACCTTTGAGGACGTGGCCGTGTACTTCTCCTGCGAAGAGTGGGGGCTCCTTGATGTGACCCAGAGATTTCTATACCACGATGTGATGCTGGAGACCTTTGCCTTCATGGCCTCTCTGGGTAAGGCCCTCATACTCCACCCCAGCATCCTGGGTGGGCTCTGACTGTCCCATTTTTCCTTGGGGCTGCCCTGTCCTTCCCAAAGCTGGGCCATGGACCCTGCTGCTTTTCCCAGTTTCCCAGAGGAGGTGTTGTGGGTGAGAGAGGGCTGTCCACCACCCCCTTCACTCCCCTAGCTACTCTAGGATCTGCTGCTCCAAAGTCCTGCAGGAGAGTTTGAGAGTCATGAGTCTTCACAACTGGCCTCATGGATCTCACCTTATCTGGTGACAGTCGAGTGGCTCCACGGCAGTTCTATGTCCCAAGCTCTGCCTCTTTCCTTGAGCTGACACACTGGCGTCTGCCCATGCCAGCAGTTGAGGTACTGACCTGGTCACTACTTACTTGAGTTCCTTCAGAACCCTCCTCTAAGGTTCTTGTCATGCAGGCATACCTTGCTTTATTGCACTTTGCAGATAATTGCGTTTTTCACAAATTGAAGGTTTGTGGCAACCCTGTGTTGAGCAAGTCAGCACCATTTTTCCAACGTTCACTTTGTATCTCTGTCACATTTTGGTCATTCTCACAGTATTTCAGATTTTTTCATCATACTGTTGCACACTCACTAGAGTATAGTATGATGTAAACATAACTTTTATAAGCACTGGGAAACCAAAAAATATGTGTGACTCGCTTTATTGTGATACTCACTTTACTACAGTGATCTGGAACTGAATCTGCAGTGTCTCTGAAGTATGCCTGTATTAGTTTTCATTTCTATGGTCTGTCACTGGGTGGGTCATTCTGTCCCTGTGCTGCCCACTCACTTGCCCTATCTCTCCCTTAGGACTTATCTCTTCTAGGACCCCTGAAATCACCCAGCTGGAGCAATGGAGAGAGCCCTGGGTGCCTGACCAAGAAGCTACAGTCCCAGACACACCACAAGGTGCTGTGAAGGGTCCTGCCCTTGATAAATGGGAGCTTTGGGAGAGTGTGAACTCAGGCAGGGGCTCAGCTTCTACCAGGAATCTGTCCAGTGTGCCTGATCCTTCGGTATGAAGGCAAGTGGCCACAGCCGATTGCCATCCTTCCTTCCCCAGTCACCCATATATCATTTTCATTCTGAGTTCTGACCCAGACTTAACCCTCTCATCTCACTCACTCTTCTCCAAAGCTCCCTCTGCAATGCTCCCCAACACTTACCTTCACTTAATGCATCATGAAATGTGCACATACCCTTAAATAGATTGTGAAGTGCAGCTACTCAGCTGGAGTGATTTCCTGGGGCATGAGCACAACTTCTGTACAGTCCTCACACGTCACCTTCAAACAAATCCAGGCTTAAAGCCTATTGAAGAAAAGTGTGTGGAAGGCCCTACATCTCCTACATGTACTGCTCCCATCCTTGTATCCCTGCTGCTTCAGAGGCCTCTCATCCTATGAGATTGCCCAACCTGGCACTGCACAGTGGGCCCTTTCCCACCCTGACTTCAACCCCCTCATTCAGCCAGCAACACCATGGACTTATTACTTGGTGTGTCAGACACACATCTTTGATGGGGCTTTCCCCTCTCACCAACCTCAGCTTGTGCTTCACCAGTCTTTCTCTGCTTGCAGGTAGTTGGCATGGAGTGGAGGCTGGGGAGGCATTTTCCGAGCAGAGTGTCTCTGCAGAAGGGATGTCATGGGTCAGGACTCCCAAGACAGGGTTGTCCACCCAGAAGACTCACTGCAGTGCAGCATGTGGCCCCATCTTCAAGGAGAATGTCCAAGTGGCTATGCCTGAGGAAACACATCCTTGTCAGAAACCACACCCATGTGGGTCATGTGGGAAAGGGTTCTGGTTCCGGGCAGACCTTGACCAGCACCAGAAGCTGTATGCTGGAGAGAAACCCTTCAGAACAGAAGTGGGTCAGCTCTCAGTTTTGAAGAGCTGCAGAGTTCACCTGTCAGAGAAACCCATCCAACACAGGGAGGGTGGGAGAGACATCCTGATCAGCTCAAATCTTCCCAGACCTCAGGGGACTCACAGTGGGGGTAAGTCTGCGAGTGCTGAGTGTGGGGAGGCCTTCCACACTGGAAAAAAGCATTACAGATGCCATGAGTGTGGGAAAGCCTTCAGTCAGAATTACTTACTTGTTCAGCACTGGAGAATCCACACTGGAGAAAAGCCTTATGAGTGCAGCGAGTGTGGGAAGTCGTTTAGCAATAAATCCAACCTTCATATCCACCAGATAGTGCACACTGGAGAACGGCCTTACAGGTGCAGTGAGTGTGGGAAATCCTTTAGCCGCAATGCTGACCTCCTTCAACACAGGAGAGTGCATACTGGAGAAAAGCCATTTACGTGCAGCGAGTGTGGAAAACCCTTCAGGCATAATTCCACACTTGTTCAGCACCAGAGAATCCACACTGGAGTCAGGCCCTATGAGTGTAGCGACTGTGGGAAGTTCTTCAGTCACAACTCCAGTCTCATGAAACATGAGCGAGTTCACACTGGAGAGAAGCCTTATGACTGCAGGGAGTGTGGGAAAGCCTTCAGCCACAAGTCAAGCCTCATAAATCACTGGAGAGTCCACACTGGAGAAAGGCCTTATGAGTGCAGCGAATGTGGGAAATTCTTCAGCCAGAACTCCAGCCTCATTCAACATCGGAAACTGCACACTGGTGAGAAGCCCTTCAAGTGCAATGAATGTGGACGGTTCTTTAGTGAAAATTCCAGCCTTGTTAAACACTGGAGAGTTCACACTGGAGCAAAGCCTTATGAGTGTGGCAAATGTGGCAGATTTTTTCGCCACAACTCAAGCCTCACTAAACATTGGCGAATTCATACTGGAGAGAGGCCTTACAAGTGCAGCAGCTGTGGGGAATCCTTTAGTCAGCGCTTCAATCTCATTCAACACCAGAGAGTTCACACTGGAGAAAAGTCTTGAGTGAAGCAAGTGGGAAAGTCTGAAGGCACAATTCCATGCTTACTGAGCCAAAGGAGTCACAGGGCTAATGTGGTGAGTTCTGTAGCCACACCTCCAGCCTCTCCAACCCTGGAGAGTTCACACTGGAGAAAGGCCTTTCGAGTGCAGTGAATATGGGAGATGATTTCTCAAATAGCCCCACCTCATTCAGCCTGAACAAGTGTAAAACAGAGAAAGCCTAATGAGTGCAGCAGATACAGAAGAGCCCTGGACCAAAGGTCTTCTCTCATTCAGTATGAAACCTGCCTTAGGATCACTGTGAATGTGAGGAAATATTTCAGCCAAAGGCATAACCTGGTTTGGCACCAGAAAGTTCCAACTTGAGAAAGGCCTTAGGAGTGTTGGGAATATGCTGTTTTCTTGTTCAATGTACAGTGACTTAGAGAAAAGCTCTGAGAGTGGTTCTTAAGATGAGGCCAGCACACCACCGGATCTCCAACCTATACAAGTATGAGACCAGAATAACTAGATGGTGCCCGGCTACCACTGTCATCCACTTGGAAGGGGATCTATGTAGGAGATCCTGGATAGAGAGGGAGAACAATGTGGAACAAAACTCAAAATCATTTGGAGGAAAAAAAAAAAAAAGGTGGGGACCAGGTTTGCTGGTCCAGTAGAGCCTGGTGGAACCACTGAGACTGTGGCCCCTAGCTTCCCTTCAGGTCTGGAATTGAACCCACACCGGTGGTTTCCAGCCAAACAAAGTACAGGCATGTGAGTTAAACATTTATCTCAAGTAGACACATGCCTTGGAGAGAACAATCATGGGAGAAGGAAGGGCTGCTTATGCACAGGGAGACAGCACAGGGGGCAGGAGAGTATGGAGGGATGGACACTGGGAAGAGGTAACTGTGGGGAGGAAGTGGGAAGGGAGCTGTTGCATTGTGGTAAACTGTGGTCAATGACATGAGACAAAGTATATGTGAACTGCTGTATGGAAAGTGAATTTGCTCTTTTAAAGTAACACCCAAATGACAATTAAAAAAAAAAGAGAGAGAGAGAAAGAAAAGATGAGGCCAACAGTTGAACATCTTCCAGATATGCACACTGGAAAGATTGACTATGTGTACTAGGGGTGGTGGAAGCCTTCTGGAGCTACACCATATGTTGTTACCTGTCCAGGGACTCTACCAGGATATGTAACAGCCAGGGCTTGTGGCAGAAGCCATCATCTCAACTCTTCACCTGGCTCTCCACAGTGTGCAACTGTTACTGACTTGTTGGCAATCAGTGTGGGAGGAACTGCCAACAAGTCCATTCCTTTACAAGGAAGAGATAGCAATGGGTTGGTTGTTTTGGATTCTTAAGCCTCTTTACATTTAATGCTATTACTGGTATAGGTGGATTTCGATTGTCATTTTACTTTTTGTTTTATATATATCTCATGTCATTTTGTTCCTCCTCTACTGCTTTTTTTTTTCTTTTTCCCATTAAGTGTAAATTTTCTAATGTAGCACTTTATTTTCTTTAGTGATTGTTTCACTGTTTATCTTCTCAGGTTAAATCCTTTAGTGGTTGCTCTAGGACTTGTCATTGTCAAAAGAAAAGTCTGACCAATGAGTCTCTTGGGTGCAGACCTGGGCCGCCAGGGTAGAGTCCATACCACTTGTTCAGGAGGCTGCATCCTGGCTTCCCTCTCCTGACCTTCTGATCCAGAGGCTAAGTCCCAATCTTATCACAGAGGGCCAAGTCTCTCAGAGGCTGCCAAGAGGCCTAGACAAGCCTGCTAGGACATGGGCTAACTGACAAGTGATGGTGACCCTCACCCATTTCTTTCCTGACCTAGTTCTTGGCCCTGGGAATTTGGAGAACAGTGGGACAGCACTTGGGTTGTGAACTCAGAACATTTTACTGAAGACACTTCCTGTTCCCTGGTCCCATGTGGGACCCAGTCTTCGAGGGAGACCTTGTCTGGTCATTTGTGATGCCCTGGTCTGATCTGCTGATTCAGGGGGTCACGCTTTATGAACCCAGGACCCTAGCATGGAGTGGAGCTAGGAGCCAACCCTTCTCCCACACACTTTGCTGGGGTAACCTCAGAGACCAGCCAAAAGGTCAGGACTCAGTCAAGATGATGTGGTCTTCTCGCTGGACTCCATGGCAGACGCCACAGCCAAATGCACCTCAGTTGGCACAACCTGGAGGATGACTCAAGATCCTGAGTTCAGAGTGTATCACTGGCACCCTGGTTAAGCACCAGTGCTTAATGACCCTGACTCTAGGCTTGGACGGAGAGGCAGAGCAAGCACCAGAAGGGCCCCAGACACCTGGTCTTGTAGGAGGGGTCCTGCTGGGATTGAGGGCCATGAGAAGCCCCAAGCTGGGTGTCACCCAACAGCCATGGCTTGTGCAGACAAGGAAACACATGCAGCCTCTAAAAGGAGGCAGCTGTGGGTTTACCTGGTGTCGTGATAAGGTGATACCAGTGTGACATAAGGAAGAAGCATCAGCTTGTCTAAGATACATTTGAATGAGCAAAACACACTACAGATCAGTCAGCAAAGTATGACTTGAAATGGGAAAAACAACGTGTAGGAATCTGTTCGAACACAGACACAGTGATGCACACACAAACAGTTCTAAAAGGACAATTCTACACTGTAAACCTTTCCTCTGCCAGGGGGTAGGGTTATCAGAGACTTCACTTTTTATTTTATAAATGTGTATAGCATAGTATTTCCTCAATAAATAATGGAAAACTTGGCACTCAGCATAAAAAGAATGATTATGAAAATAAACGTGCACTGCTGCATTTTTGACAACTCGGTTCAAAAATACCAAACCTTTCAACAAGATGACTGTTAATCACAGGAATTGCCCTGTCCACTCACATCAGTTGCAGCAAAGGAATGGAATGTTCTGGAATGGGGCATCATAATCACAGAGGGAGGGAGCTTATTCACACAGTGACCCCTGGACCTAAACCCCAGTATCTGATTCAGCAGATTTGGATTGGAGACTGGGAATTCGCATGTCTAACAAGTCTCTAGCTAATAATGATGTTGCTGCCTGGGAGCCAACCCCAAATACCAGCATTCAGACAAAGGGAGACTCCATTGTTCCAGGTCCACTGTGCTGGACTGCACATTTGCAGACTGCAGCTCCCAAGGGGCTGAACCAGGGTTCTCACCATCATCCCTACAGTTTCCACAGCAAGCTGAGCAGACAGGAGCTGATGGAACTGAAGACCCAGGCCCTTCCATGCAGAGACATCACACGGAGAAGCTGAAAGTTGTGACAGCGAACTGAATCCCCTGCCAGGGCTCCAACTGAGCCCTCTAGTCACTGGGCATCTGCTGGGTGGCTTCTGGCAGGAGGAACTGGAGCACAGTGGGACCACTCGCCAGCTCCTGGAGTCCTCTGTGGAGGGGGATGCTTCTGAGTGGGATTTGGAAATACTGAAAACCAAAAAAAATAAAAATACACTGCCATCAAGTCGGATCCAACTCATAGCGACCCTCATTGGGTTTCCGAGGTGATAAATCTTTACAGAAGGTTTACAGATTGCCCCATCTTCCTTTCATGGAGTGGCTGGTGGGTTTGAACCACCAATCTTCTGGTTAGTAGTCAAATATCTTAAATCTCTTGAAAGAGTAAAATTGGACTTACAAAGGAGTCATAGGTCCACTACCAACGTGCAAAACAGCAAAAGTATATAAATGAGTAATCGTGAAATGCCAAACTTGGGTGCTGCAGCTAAAGCAGAAGTGTTCAGACTTCATCAGGTCACAGCATCCTTAATGCCCCATGTATTTTTTTTATCACACCTCTTAGACTTCTCAACAGTTCATTAATTATGTTGTTAGATGTTGGTTCCGACACATAGTGGCCCTGTGTACAACAGAACAAAACATTAGTCCTTCACCATCCTCACAATTGTTGCCATGCTTCTGCTTGAGCCCACTGTCCCAGCCACTGTGTCAGTCCATCTTGTTATTATGTAGTATGGTCCAAGTAAAGTTTAAGTCCTAACATCTTAGTATCCACGAGCATAAAATAATACACAGGTCTTAAAATACTATGTGTAAACTACAGCGCCCACTAGCCTAAGACCAGAAGTACCAGATGGCACCTGGCTACCACTACTGACTGCTTCTATCATGATCACAAATAGAACATCCTGGACAGAGGAGGAGAAGAAAAACATAGAGCAAAACTCAAAGAAAAGACCAGACTTTCAGTCTGATAGACACTGATGAACCCCCAGCTCCAGACTGTGGCCCTTCAAACCTAGAACTGAACCCACCCTTTGGGGTCATCTTCCAGTCAAACAACAAGCCTGTTCAGTGAACAGTAATACCTGTTCCTCAGAACAATCAACCATGTGAGACAAAAAGTTCAGAAGACAGGAAGGGGCAGGAAAGAGGGATGAATAGAAATGGGGAACCCTGGGAAGAAGTGGGAAGGGTGCTGTTATGCTGTTACATTGGCGATAGCAACTAGTGCCGTGAAGCAAAATGTGTATACGTTGGAGAATGGAAAACTAGTTTGCTCTGTAAAGTTTTACTCAAACCACAATAAACTTGAAAAGTAGTATTTACATTTCATGCTTGAATAATCACAGTTGGTTAGTAATGAGATGTGTGTGTTCTTGGGCACTGCATCACTTCTCAGACTTGCCATACGATTGGACATTGCCACCATGCCACTTGGTCTCTGCCGTTCCACTCTCTGGGTAGACTCACATTGCCCCATCAATCAGTGGGTTTCATACCTTGAAGGAGTGTTACCTCAAGACTCGAAGGCAAGGCCTGGGCCTCAGGCTGTGTGGTTCCCACCCCCTAAAGTGGGAAGCAAAAAAGCACTTCATGCAAAATCACTATAGATCCAGACCAATGTTTTATTGTTGTTGCTTTAGCCTGGGAACCTTTTGGTGAGTTTTATGAGGTAGTGGTGTAGGTTTTCCTTTTTAGATGATCATCTGACCGAATGACTATCATTGAATACTCTTCTCCCTGCTG